AGCGAGGTTGGGCAAAGCTTTACCTATACTGTATGAACAACGCGCAGACATTTCGTAAGATCCTTCTGCTGCCTCCCACCGGTGAAGAGTATACGTACTGAGCTTTGTGTGGCTTCGTCAACTGCAAGATACTGTTCGCAGCGAATGCACACCCTTATTATGAGGTATGGAAACTAGCGCAAACGTCTCTCGCAAAGCCACATGGCAGAGGCTCCGAACCGTACGATGTGAGAGGACAATCTGCCGGACTGTTGGGGGCAAGTCGGAATGAGGCCATGCGTGAAGTAACCCGGGGAAACTTGCTCAGCCTTACGCAAATTGACCCAGCTTCCCGGTTATGGAGGACGGATGCGATTGACGGGTGCGGATGGTCTGGATGTTCGTCGCATTGCGATCCCGCTGGTCTAGACCTGATGGCTTGGGGTGTGGTACGGATGACGAGTAAGTTTGCTGTACGAGCCAACGAATCCTGATGAAGGTAACGGTCGTATCCGGGCCGCGACCCAAGTGGAAAGGTGCGTTCGGTTCTTTGTCACAATGAACGGCGTTGCGTCATGTTATAACCGTCGTTGTTCGCAAGCGTCGATGCGGATATTTCCCCGAGCATACGCGCATCGAAACTGGAAGCAAGCCGAGCGGTTCGGAATTTGGAAAGAGAGCGCTTATGGCACGTCGTGAAACGTCATTAATGTTTCGGCCGAGGTTGTGGATATCACGTTGAAGGCGCGTGACTTTGGACATGGAAGTCGGAACACGTGGCTGCACGTGGAGCCAACAACACAAGCTCGTAGCAGTAAAAGTGTGAAGCGAGGCAGTCACGATCGAGGAGACAACAAGACGAAAGGGAAGTGTGATATGCTTTTATTGATGAACGCCTGACCAACCCACCTGGGTACAGGTCATAAAATGCTACCCAAAACGCCAATATGTATGCAAGGGGTATCGCTGAATGCAAAAAGAAAAAAAGCCTCCCAGTCTTCATGATCATGCAATCGTTTTCATGCAGTCACCATCATGTATGTCCGTCATCAGTACCCGTGGCCTGCCACTGGAGAGCTCAGTGTGTATGTAACAAAAGAAAATGCAGTAAAAGAATCAGAGCAGACGTAGCTTTCCACCGTCTATAGTCCCCTAAACTTGGCACCATTCCTGTGGTAGATGCTGTGCACTGCGCGAGGAGTGATAGCTGGGGGAGCTACTGCCGGGGGAGCGGGGGGAGTAGCAACAGGCGCTGTTGGAGCAGGCGCTGTGACAGTGACCATGACAGTGTCGGTGACTGTGACAACGCCGTTGTCGCCGGCTGGTGGTGTTGGTGCGGCACCGGGACGACCTGAAAGTGTCGGGATCTCCATAGTAGCGCTGGAGGCCGCTGAGTTGCTGGGAGATGGCAGCTGGGCGGTCGCGGAGGGAACGATGGCAGAAATTGGAGGAGAGTTGCTAGCGGCTGGAGGTGCAGCACTTGGAACGGGAACAGCGCTGGTGGTGACTGGAGCTGTAGGACCCGCGGGCGGAGTGCTGTTGGTGGGGAAAGGAGCGTCGCCACCAGAGCCGGAACCTCCGCCTAGAAGTGGGATCTCGGATGTGACAGGGCCGTATTCGCGCTTGAAAGGTGAGTCGGTGAAGAGAGCAGTTCTTGAGTTCCAGTGAGGGTGGGCGGCAGTTCCAGCATCCTGTTGCTGCATCTGGAACTTCGCCATCGCTTCAGGAGCTGCAGCTGCCATGGCAACATCAGGGGAGGCGGCGTCGATGTCCATGCATGTAGTATAGTACTCGTCCAGACCATTAGGCTGCTTTCCAGCCTTGCCAGGAATCGAAGCCCATTGCCAAACCCAGTACAAGGTATAGGTCTTGCTGAGTTCCATCGTGTCTGGAAGCTTGACATCTGTCTCGCAGTACATGACTGTGTTTGAAGGTCCGCTCTGGGATGTACCCATCGCATAGGCAGGAGAGAACTTTTCACGTTCTGAAGCGACTGGCGTCTTGTTGTTCAGATAGCAGCGTCCGTCGTCGTAGTCAGTCGTAGCTAACAGGACTCCACGCTTGTCACCACCCTGACCATCTTTGGTCCACTGGAGCACGTCGACAAGCTTCTCATCACTTTTCGGTTCCTTGGTGCCGTAGACGAAGATTGTGCCGCCCTTGTCAGGCTTCTCAGGGTTGTTCTCCGGCCTTGTGACATGTCCATTCTCTTGGTATCGTATAGCGACGTAGCCACCCGGCGGAGCTTTGAGACGAGGCCATTTGTCGGCGGACTGCTTCTGCACACGTTGATCGTCCGGGCAGAGCAGGTCGTCCTTGTTGATATACGCCCTGCCTTGAGGTATTTGGTAGGACATGGGGTCATCTGTACCATCGGGTCTGTCGATAAAGCCCCGCGGGTATCCATATTGGCCGACGTAGTTGCCTTTCTCGTCGATGTTCCGAAGCTGCTCGCCCCAGCTGTGGCCCATAGCCGTGGGAAAGGCCATGAGCGCGGCGACAAGCGTATTCCGTATGCTAGGCATTTTGATGTGTGTGTAGTGTCGAAAGTGAATCTTGCCCTGCAAGAGTAAGGTGTGGGATAGTCGATGCCGGATGTCTTATCAGTACTGGCGATACGTATATCCTGGCGTGAGTGTTGTTGTCGAAAGCGGGACAGGTGGGAATTGGTGTACAGGAAATTATATCGTGACGAAAAGTGAAGTATCGGCTTGGCGGGCACTGTGAGTGGTCGCTCCGTCAATAGTCGTGTGACTCAATCCGTCTTCACCTCGCACGTAACGATGCTATTGTTCAATGACAATAGTACCGGACCTTGTGAACGACGCACTGCGCGCTCTAGGCTACAAGAAAATAAGAAATGCAAGAGAAGAAGTGAAGACGCACAAGCCGAATGTGAACACAAACTGCAATATCACGCGGCCATGGCCCTTTATTCAGGCGGGTGAAGGTGGTGAGACAGACGCTGTTGAGCGTTGTAAAATCTCCGGCCTAGAAGGGAAGAAGCGACAGGAGCCAATAGAGAAGGAGACACACGAGGTGTCGAAACACAGCGCCACTCCACGCGACGCCGCACGCAAGCTTTCGAGCCTGACTGTATGGGTGTAGGATGTGCGTTTCAACGCTGGCCGATGCTGTAGCCGCCAGCCATGGCTTTCCCGTCCCGCAGCGTGGTCGCGGCGTAGCGCGCTCTTGCTGCAGCCTCCCGTACTCTCCGGCGCGAAGATCGGCGTCTGTTAGTCGGTAGTTGGCAATACATGTGCATGGCAGGGCTACGCTAGCCATCCTCAGACATCAGAGGGGCCGTTGAGTGTCAGAGGACCGTGTGCCGTTGATCTACAACACAACGACGGAAGCTAGGCATCATCTAGATCGATGCGATGAAAGTGGAGATGAAATAACGATAGATAATGAGAGCCAGTGATTGCGATATTGTGAAGCTTTCTGCATCGCCCATCGTGAACCCACAAGCGTGACGTAAGAAATCGCGCAAAGTGCACGCAAAGTGGATGACAAAATCATCGAAGTGCCAGGGCGAGCCTGGAACGACCCCACGACAGGTGAATGTGTGCCGGTGCAGCGCTTCGAGAAGGAAGGTGAACCCGCAAGCGACGGGTGGTGGGGTGAAGGTAGTTTGGTGGAGGCTCCACGTTGTTTCAGGTTAGAGCGCACGCGTGCGTTGATTGGTCATCGACCGCCACGCTAGGCTTCAACCTAGGAAATAGAGATATCGCCTGATTGGCGCGCATCTCTCCATTTCACGATGCCCGCCAGCTAGCCTTTTCCCACGACCAGATTGACGCCCATCCAGTCTCTATATTTGACAAGCGAGATTCCAGACACCTGGCCAGCTTCATGCGCCTTTTTTCTTTTCCGATGCCGAGCACAGACTGCGAGATGAGATGTTTCCCAAGACGCATTCCCACCCATACAGGCACGATCCTATCGCTCCCTCGTGTTTCATCGATAAGGGAAAACGGCGGGGCGCGGAACAGCCCTGAGGCATAGCAAACGGCATCAACGGGGGCCTGGCCAGCATCCCCGCCTGTCAAAACGGCTCGCAGATTACAGGAACCAAACCCGAGGCTAACCACGTCGGATATCCTTAGCAGGTGACCTCGTGCGGTGGCTACCCAAACCTAAAGGCCGAGATGTGTCTTCTGGAAGGTGCCATTTCATCTCTCACAATGTCCTTACATCTTGAAATGTTATTGCAAACACGTCTCGACATTGGGGTTTCGAGGTTGTCCATGGAAGGTATGCCAGGTGGTGCCTGTTGGTGTCGTCGCTTCTGGGTACAGTGGCAAATTGATCTGGGTAGCAGCTTCACACGTTGGTGTTGATAGTACACCCAACCTGATCAAATATGCTCACGCAAACAACCATCTGCTGTCTTAGCCGTCAATGTGCAATAGCTTAGAATGGCTGGTTGAGTGATAGGCACAACAGACGTGAAGAACTGGTCCATCACAACGACAACCTCATATAAGCACTCAAAGAAGATGATCTAGCGGTAATAAGCTGCTGTCAAGACCAACATTACACTACTGCCACGCTCGGAAACCTATCACGAGCCGAAACTACAATTATATCTCGGCTGGACTACCTGCTTTCACTACTTGAACATGTGCCAATACACACTCGTCGTCTACACATGCGCTTATACATCTCGCAAAGGAACCTTCTGGTGCCCATCAAGCCTCAAGTCGTCACCAAATCGCTTTGGTCTCTGCAGCCGCGCGCAGTCAAACATCATCGAAGTGCGATACGAGGAAGCTTGCAATGCGTGTATACTGAGAGAGCACCGGGATACGAAGGCGAAAGAAGCTGAGACACGGAGAGAGGAGGGCAGACAGTAAAATCACGGCGAGTAGTGAGAGCATCCTCAATCAAGCTAGCGTCCTTTGGCAATCTATGGGGATACAAACGCACTCTGAATACTTTTCTTTGCAACCACAACATCCTCATTACCCACTTCTTTCAATTTTACCATCGACACATTACCATACTATCCCACATCAATGGCATCAAACTTCGCCTCATTTGCGTCATCTGAGCTCGAGGCGTTGCGAAAGCGCGCCCTTGATGCCGCAGTGGCCGCTCCTGATGCCCAATCGCGCGCCATCAACGAGCAGCGAGCAAAGATAGACGCGCAAGAATACGCGCACGACACCAAGCGCCAATACCCAACTATCGAAGCCGAGAACGCAGCGCTGAGGCAGAAAATCGTCAAGTTGGAGCAGCGCTTGGCGCAGGGAACGCTGGAGCTTGAACAGATGGAGGACAAATTGAGTGAGTTAAAGAAGTTGGAGAAGGATATCAGGGTCTACAATCAAAGTCTGAAGACTGTGATGTTCCTCGTTGGATATAAGCAACCCGAGGAGCGAGGACAGTGAAGTGTAAGTAGTATGGAAGCTGTTGAACATGATCTAGACCGCTGACCCGTTCAGACTTGTCAGGACACGTACTGCGGAGTAGAGGAAAAGGTCCAACATGTACAATGCGATGGTTCAAGGGGACTGTTCACATGGAAGCGATGAAGAGTGCGGCGAAGTAGGCGGTAACCGTCCAAAACATTTCACAGCATCACGACAATGCTCTACATGCATTCAAGTCCCTTCTCGCTCCATCACCTCCGTACCATGTGATTTCTTCCGCCTGTTCACGCAAGTTTCATGTACTAAAATGCTACACTGTGCACGAAACCTTCCCACTTACTCCCCTACCTCACTACCACCCAACCGCCGGTAACAAGCACCGCACCTCTCCGAAACAAGCCATGCCAACCCTCAACATCAAACCAGAAAACTGTATCTGCGCTGCGACCATCCACTCCTTCTCCTGCCACTGCCATAGACACACTTACACCATTACTTGCCCAGGATCAGCTCGCCATCATCGACCAGCAATCGTAGGCGTTGAGCTACATCTGAAGCCATGCGACACATGCGCGGAAAGACTGGAAGATTTAGAGAGGACGTGGCGTGAGAGGCGAGGGATATGTCCGTATAATGATATTGAGACGGAGGAGGTGGTGGAGGTAGAAGAGTTAGAGAGTACCGGGTCCGAGGACTACGAGGACGCGGTTTCGATCATGACAGAACATTGAAGGAGCGCCGCATGCCGCAGAAGATACTATACCCAAGTACAGCAAGAAACGCAATAATGACCCAGAAGTTTACATCCCATCAAAAATTTACAAACTTTCACTTTTGATACCGATGTAGACTCTAGGGTGTTTGGTGTTCCTTGAATGGGGCGAGAGATGTGTGTGGCACGCCAATGCAGTGTCGTCGGCAACCCATGGTACCGCATCGCGAATCGCGCGCACATTACCAATGTATACTTCAGACCCTGAGAGACCTTGCAAACTCTCACAACACTCTCGCTTTTGATCATCGATGTATATCTCCCGAACTCGGTTTCAGTGACCGCACCTCTACAGCACATGCGCACTCTGTCCTTCCTTGCATCATCGCCAGTTGCGAGCGTTACAATGCCGCACTTTCCAATCACTCGTCATACGCTTGACGTGTTTCCGCGTTACGAGATACCGACAAAGACTCGCTTCGCGGTCTACTGCTTGTTATCGCTACATTCGGTATTCTACTTTCAGATCCGACCTTTACGTGAGGAAACCATCGCCGCAGGACATCTCTGGTTCACTATTCCCGCACATTTATTCTGAATGGCGTTCACGTTGTTCTTCGTCCTAAGGTTCTATGCTGAAAACGACTACTCTATCGATCCCAACGATCGTCTACCAAGATACGTAGACCCGAGTCCTCCCACATTTTACACAATAATACTTTCCATGACGCTTGTCCACCTCGGTCAGATCGCAATCTGGACACAAACCTACCTCGGCACGGCTTCCCCCTTCCCCAAAGACATCCGCGCACTCGTTCAAGAATGCACGCTCCACTTCGCAATGTCCTTCTGGGTACTCTCGGAGTGTGAGTATATACGCGCATACTGGCATTCGCGCCTCCAAGAGCGACCCTTCAATCTCATCACATTTCTCCAATCTATCCCCCAAGCCAATTTCGACCTTACTTTCCTCGTATCACGAGATTGTTGCAGTTACCGGAGGACACCACCGAGGGATGGGCGGACAAATATGGAAGCTCTCTGTCGAGCTCTGCTTGATCTTTTCGACATCATAGCTTTTACGTGGGTGGTCCTGGTCTGTCTTCTTTACCCTATCAAGCGCTTCGCGAATCCCGGTCCTAATGGCGATACTTTCTCAATCGCAAACGGGTGTTTTGGAGTGTTCTTTGCACCGCGGTCGGACTGGTTTATCTTGCTTGATATTGCACTCCAGCGTCCGGTCCGACTATTGAACAGGATGCTGTTTGAATCGGCTGTGGAGGGTGTTAAAAGAGGTCTGGATTGGTGGCGGCGGCGTGATCTACATGGGAGAGCTGATAGAAGCGACCCCGAGAGTACGAGTGACATGTCCCCGTTGTACATCCCTCCTGCCGACTGGTCTGACCTCTGGGTCAATAGCGAAGAGATTGCCTGGTGGTCGGTATCTCGACAGCTCTACGAAACGCCCTGGAACGACTGAGATACCTTGAGTCAAGATGGCACTTCCCCCGGACGACTCACCTCCCAGCCTCGCGGAAGCTCTCCATCGCTTTCTGGCATACGCAGGTATCTCCGCCGACGTCACGTCGGATCGCACACCTTCGTTAGATACGAAGACGAAAGCGAAGACTCCAGTATGGGCAGCTCCAAGTGACCGTGGAAAGATACGAGCCAAACGAAAAGGCTCTGGTCAATACATGAAGTGCCTCAATATTACACAAGGAGCAGGCTGAGCTTTAGGCCGAGACCTTGAGGAGGATTAATTGAGAGGAAGGCGAATGGGAGAACGAGGTGGAACGCGTCGCCTCGGGAATAAGATACTCGTGGTGGTTGCCTTCGGTCATAGAAGGTCGCCGTAGTCGCACCTTCCTCGTTCGGTCAGGTTGGTCAAACTGTTCACGATAGTACGTAGGATAGCAGGCGCGCTGGGTCTACAAAGGTCATAACTGCGCTGTTGAAGGGCCGCAAGCCGCAAGAGTCTCTAATCTAAGCACAATGCATCTGTAATAATGCTGTAAATTTATCATTAATGTTGAATAGTAAGCATGCCAAAGAAAGAGTGAAGGTGGCGTTTCTCGAGGATTCCTTGGCGCTCTCCAGCTTTGTCAGCCACTAGCGTCCGCGACATTCAGCCTAGCTTCGAGCTCCGCGCATCGCGACATTTTCCCAACACCGCGCGCGCGACGACCTCACGCACCACACCATCGCCGTCCACCTCCTCTACGCCGTCGCGACCCCCATACACCTCACGTAACACCCCGCACAACCGTCACCATGGCCAACTACCTCGCCTCCATCTTCGGAACGGAGCAAGACAAAGTCAACTGCTCCTTCTACTACAAGATTGGCGCGTGCCGCCACGGCGACCGCTGCTCGCGCAAACACGTCAAGCCCTCGTACTCGCAGACGATCCTGCTGCCGAACCTCTACCAGAACCCCGCGTACGACCCCAAGAACAAGATGAACCCGCAGCAGATGCAGATGCACTTTGATGCGTTTTACGAGGATATCTGGTGCGAGCTGTGCCAGTACGGCCTTGTGGAGGAGCTGGTAGTTTGTGACAACAACAATGATCGTGCGTTCTCCCCATACTCATACCTTTACTCCCTTTGATTAGAAGAAGCTTGCTAACCCAACCTTACAGACCTCATCGGCAACGTCTACGTGCGCTTCAAGTACGAAGAAGACGCGCAAAAAGCGTGCGACGCGCTCAACTCGCGCTGGTACGCCGGCCGCCCCATCTACTGCGAACTCTCGCCCGTCACCGATTTCCGCGAGGCCTGCTGTCGTCTCAACAGCGGCGAAGGCTGTGTCCGCGGCGGCTTCTGCAACTTCATTCATCGCAAGGAACCGAGCGCCGAGTTGGATCGCGAGTTGGACATGTGCACGCGCAAGTGGTTGAAGGAGAGAGGCCGGGATGCCAGGAGTATGAGCAGGAGTCCTACGCCGCCTGCGACGAAGAGCCGGTTTTAGGAAGATTTGGTGGCTGGGAGGGTGAGGATGGGGCAGGGTTGAGGAGGAATGAGTGTGAAAGGAGTTTTGGCGTTGTGCATGCTCGCGCTTTTGGGACTGAGATATCCGTTGCGGGCATGGCGTTGCAGATTGACATTTGTATTATAGGCTGGGGACTATGCTAAAGTGAATGATGCGCTGGACTAGATACACAAAAGCACTCTGTCGGTTCACATCAATCTGTCCGCATGCCTGGATGAACTTCGTGAGTTGTGCGTAATATTCAATGGAACTGACCATGAAGCAGTGCACTTTAGTCGTTTTGTGTTCAGGTGTTTCTTGCAAGTCAAGTCACGCACGCGCAGTATGGTGAAATGTTCTCGAGGAAAAGAAGCAGATATCGCATTGGTGGCCATGTAAGACCTGGTATCATCTGAAATATAAACATCGAAAAGAAAGAAACCGCGGATAGCAGCTACGAGCATCCAAGTGCTCAAAAACACCAGCCCAATCCAACCCCCAGAAAAAAGACATTAAACGCCCCATACACCCCGTCTATCCCAAAACACACTCATATATACACCATGTCTTCATCCCATCCCATCCCTCCTCATCCTCAAATAATCTTATGCTGTTTCAAAATAATAATCGTAACAACCACCCCAGCAACAAGCAGCAAGAAGGTGATCCAGAAACACCAGCAAATCCACGTCCTTTGCTTGGCCTTTCTCTGCTGACCGGCCAACCAACTATCTCTATGTGACGCGTCAGCCGTGATGGTCGTGGTGAAGTGGAAGCGCGATGAAGGGCGTCCGGAGAGGTGGCTGAGGGAGAGAGTGGAGAGGTTGGGGGTGCGGAAGAAGGAGTGGGGACGCGAGGATGAAGATGGGTGTGGGTGTGTGGGGGATGAGGGGAGAGGGGAGAAGGGCGGTTGGTAGGCGTTTTGGGTGGTGGTAGACGGGAGCTCTTGGATGGAGATGGAGGGGCGGAGTAGGGGTTTCGTGGACGGCGTCTTTTGTAGTTTGGAGCGGGGTCTCTCTTTCTTTTTGTCTTTATCCGATTCCTTCTCCGCTGTTTGCGTATGTCTTCCGCCCGAAAAGATCTCCGCTGATAGTGGTGACAACGGGTTTGATGTGGCGTAGGATGACCGTGTGGATTGCAGTTGGGCCATGGGCGGGGATGTGATGGGTAGGTGTGTTTGGGAAGTGGGGGATCCGAGGGGAGGGGATAGGGAACTGCTGACGTACGATTGCTTGAGGCCCTGGGTTTGTGTGGTCTTTTCTAGGTCGTCTTGGTGGACGGCTACGCTGAAGCGTTTCCAGAATTGGGGGTCGCGCACCATTTTGGTATGTGTGTGGCTGGACTAGATAGCGAGGGTACGTAGGAGATGGCGAGTTATTGTGGTATGCTGAGCATGTACGTGTGAGGTGGCGATG